GCGCAAGCCGCTGGCCTCGGCGTGGCTATGCTGATGCCAGGCAGAACCTCCGGGCTTCCAGATGTGCGCTTTGGATCAGCGAAGCGAAGCTCGGTTGGCTCTTGCCTCTGTGCAGGCTCCACCGTGGCCATGGGCCTGCAGCTCGGATGTTGCTGTGGTGCTTTGGTGCTTTGTGAGATGAAGATGAAGACGTCACATGCCTGGCACATTCTTGGCATTCGATCTTCCTGGCTCGAGCTGAAACTCGCCAATGATGGGCCATTGGGCTGTGCTCGGATGAGCTTGCATGCGCGTAGGGATGCGGGTAGGTCAACTATGGTGCATCAGGGACGCCACACTGAACTGCAGGCTCAGCTGACAAACTGGGACAATGGCAATGGGTCATTTGCAGCGCAAGACTTCGACCACCCGTGTTTCAGTGACAACCGAAAGCTTCATCTCCGCTTTTACCGTAGGCCGTTGCATCAGCCGCCCAACCCGCAGAGGTTTGGCCCACGCCGTCCGCGTAACCCGAAACTTCGGGGTGTTCAGCAACCGCCATGTGGCTGTGGCCCAAAAACACATACCCAAAATGGCCCCTAGGTAAGTGGAGGTAAAGGGAAACAAAGACCAACACCTGGGTAACCCCTAGCTCTTAAATTTTGAGCCGCAGCCATGTGGTGCTGCCTGATGAACCCCTGCTGCCTGCCGTGCCTGCTGTGGTGCCCGCTGCCCAGCGGTACCCGAGCCGCGCAGGAGGGGAGACATCAAAATGGGTATGGGTCAAAATGATGCAACCAATCCCAGACTCCCAAACCACCCGATTTGGATTTGGATTCTCCTCTCATTGCCGTGGAACCTGAGGTTTTGGGTTCCAAGAAGTTCCCACCGTTTCCCTCCCACTCTTTTCACATGGAACCTGACCGGGGGGGTTTAGGAGGAGAATGGTGCAAACCAGGACTTTTTGTCAGGAACCTGAATTTTTGGGTTCCAAGATGTTGTGGAAGGGGCCATTTGGGTATGGGTCAAACATGTTCTTCACCAGGAATGGGCAATCCGCAGGGTTTAGTCAACTTGTTTCCATGTACCGATCGGGCAGCCCATTTTATTTTGGGGTTACCCTGTTTTTGACCCACGGCCAAATAGGCAACTTCCCACAGTATGTGTTTGTGTAGTTTCGTTTGGTGCTGTGGTTTGACCTTTTGGTGGCCGGTTGGCTGACAGTTTTGAAGGCAACACATTTGGATCATTTTGAGGGCAACATGTGATGAGGCTGAACACCTGTCCAGTGCATATCCTGCCTAGTTTTGCCTGTCGCGTGGCTGCGTAGGTGCAGGAAGAGCTGACCCTCCGTCTCAAGAACGTTGCGCCGGAGGCAGGCAGACGCCGCTGGGCTGGGTTTCTGAAAGGAGAGCTCCCTTGTGTTGGCCGCAAGCCTGCATGAAAAGACTTGAAAATCAGGCGACCCTGTCAGGCAGCGCTGGAGAGGGCCATGATTAATCACGCAACCCTTTCTGAGCCTTTTGATCTTTGTTGTCAACCAAGTCGCAAGACATACCACTAGCTACCGTTTGGCGAGCAATTGTGCAATCTTTGGGGGGTTGTTTTGACCAACCCCCGAAACTATTGTCATAGAAACCAGCCACAGGGCCTTCTACAGGAACTTGGCCAAGTACCCATTTGGACCAAAAACAAGGATTTCCTGTCTTTTTCCCTGTAGCTGGTTTCTTGGATGGACACCTTTGGGGGTTCTTTTGACGAAACCCTGAAACGATTGGCTTCAGGAGACAAAACAAAAAAGGCGCTTGGGGGCTCTTTCGACCAAACCTGCCCGAAACTATTAGCTCCATAAAATGAGAACGGGACATTCTACCCGCCAAAAACCAAGGATTGCCCGCATAGAATCCCGGATCTTGGCTGCAGAAAAGGGGCATGTGCAGCGCTGCGCCGACGTTTTCTTTCTTTCTCGTTTCGCAGGCCTTTCACAAGCTCTCGGGCTGGTTCTATGGGAACCTCTCGCTCTTCTTCTGGCAGCCGCCGCGGCCTGATCTGGCGGGGCCGGGAAGAGGGGGGGGGAAGGGGGGGGTGGGAGGCCGTTGCGGTGCTGGGCGTCTCGTGGGTTTGGAGGGAAGCCGATAGGACCATAGGAAGCCAGCCATGTGGCTGTCAAAACCAATGGGATTTTGGTTGGTAGGTGCACCACCCATTTTGGTCTATTTTAGTGGGGGTTGGGATGTTCACTGGGGGTACGATTTGGATTTTGACCCATGGCCATGTGGTGCTTTGTCCTTTTCTTTCACGAAGCCCCATGTACAGATTCAACCAGCATGCCTGCCATTGCCAGAAGCCACGACAAAGACACAGTCAACCAGGTGGGGTTCTACGGGCAGAGAGAGAGAAAGAGAGCGAGGGGTTCGCATGCAGGCAGATGGTGAGCAGGAGGAGGAGGTGCAAGCGAAGGCGCCCCGAATCGGAGAAGAGTTCTGACCCGCTTCTTGCGAACCTGCAAATCCGCATCCACCAAACTGGCATCCCGGATCTAGGCAGCTCCAGGAAGGCCCTCGCCTTGCGGAGTTGAACTCGTTTTCTTTATTTTATCGCCTCCGGCTCAGGCCGCCGACATTACAGGCCTGCTTTCTTATTTGCGTCCCTTTGGTCCCTAAGATCTTTTCCACCCCTTTCCCTGTTGAGATCATTTCTCCCCTTTCCCCCCTAAGGCCTTTGCCCCCAGATCTTCTCCCTTTCCTCCCTAAGATCTTTCCCCCCCCTTTCCCTGCTCAGATCCTTTCCCCCCTTTCCCCCCTAAGGCCTTTCCCCCCCTGAGATCTTCTCCCTTTTCCTCCCTAAGATCTTTTGCCACCTTTCCCTGTTGAGATCCATTCCCCCTTTCCCCCCTAAGCCCCTTTCTCCCTCTGAGTTTTTCCCTTTTCCTCCCTACGCTGTTTTCCCCCCTTTCCCCCCTAAGGGCTTTTTTCCCCCCGCGATCTTCCCCCTTTTCCTTCCTAAGATCTTTTGCCACCTTTCCTTGTTGAGATCCTTTCCCGCCCTTTCCCCCCTAAGGCGTTTTCCCCCCAAGATCTTCTCCCTTTTCCTCCCTAAGATCCTTTGCCCCCTTTCCCTGTTGAGATCCTTTCCCCCCTTTCCCCCCTAAGGCCTTTCCCCCCCTGAGATCTTCTCCCTTGTCCTCCCCAAGATCTTTTCCCTTGATTGAGATCCTTTCCCCCTTTCCCCCAAGATCTTCTCCCTTTTCCTCCCTAGGATTTTCTCCCACCTTTCCCTGTTGAGCTCCTTTCCCCCTTTTCCCCCTAAGGCCTTTTCAGATCTTCTCCCCTTTCCTCCCGAAGATCCTTTGCCGCCTTTCCCTGTTGAGATCCTTTCCCCCTTTCCCCCCTAAGGCCTTTTCCCTGCCTGGGATCTTTTCCCCTTCCTTACTGAGATCTTTCCCCCCCTTTCCCTGTTGAGATCCTTTCCCTCCTTTCCTTCCTAAGGCCTTTCCCCCCGCTGAGATCTTCTCCCTATTCCTCCTTAAGATTTTTTGCCCCCTTTCCCCGTTAAGATCCTTTCCCCCCTTCCCTTTAAGGCCTTTCCAGATCTTCTCCCTTCTCCTTCCTAAGATTGTTTCCCCCCTTTCCCTGTTGAGATCCTTCCCACCCTTTCCCGCCTAAGGCCTTTCCCCCCCTGAGAGCTTCTCTCTTTTCCTTCCTTAGATCTTTCCCCCCTTTCCCTGTTGGCCTTTTTTCCCCCAGATCTTCTCCCTTTCCTCCCTAAGATCTTTTCCACCCCTTTCCCTGTTGAGATCATTTCTCCCCTTTCCCCCCTAAGGCCTTTGTCCCCAGATCTTCTCCCTTTCCTCCCTAAGATCTTTCCCCCCCCCCTTTCCCTGCTCAGATCCTTTCCCCCCTTTCCCCCCTAAGGCCTTTCCCCCCCCTGAGAGCTTCTCCCTTTTCCTTCCTAAATCTGTTCCCCCCTTTCCCTGTTGGGCTTTCCCCCCTAAGTCCTTTTCTCCCAGATCTTCTCCCTTTCCTCCCTAAGATCTTCCCCCCCCCCCCTTTCCTCCCTAAGATCTTTCCCACCCTTTCCCTGTTGAGATCCTTTCCCCCCTTTCCCTCCCAAGGCCTTTCCCCCCCCCTGAGAGCTTCTCCCTTTCCTTCCTAAGATCTTTTCCCCCCTTTCCCTGTTGGGCTTTCCCCCCTAAGTCCTTTTCTCCCAGATCTTCTCCCTTTCCTCCCTAAGATCTCCCCCCCCCCTTTCCTTCCTAAGATTGTTTCCCCCCTTTCCCTGTTGAGATCCTTCCCACCCTTTCCCCCCTCAGGCCTTTCCCCCCCCTGAGAGCTTCTCCCTTTTCCTTCCTTAGATCTTTCCCCCCTTTCCCTGTTGGCCTTTTTTCCCCCAGATCTTCTCCCTTTCCTCCCTAAGATCTTTTCCACCCCTTTCCCTGTTGAGATCATTTCTCCCCTTTCCCCCCTAAGGCCTTTGCCCCCAGATCTTCTCCCTTTCCTCCCTAAGATCTTTCCCCCCCTTTCCCTGCTCAGATCCTTTCCCCCCTTTCCCCCCTAAGGCCTTTCCCCCCCTGAGATCTTCTCCCTTTTCCTCCCTAAGATCTTTTGCCACCTTTCCCTGTTGAGATCCATTCCCCCTTTCCCCCCTAAGGCCCTTTCTCCCTCTGAGTTTTTCCCTTTTCCTCCCTACGATGTTTTCCCCCCTCTCCCTGTTGAGATCCTTTCCCTCCTTTCCCCCCTAAGGCCTTTTTTCCCCCTGCGATCTTCCCCCTTTTCCTTCCTAAGATCTTTTCCCCCCTTTCCTTGTTGAGATCCTTTCCCGCCCTTTCCCCCCTAAGGCGTTTTCCCCCCCAAGATCTTCTCCCTTTTCCTCCCTAAGATCCTTTGCCCCCTTTCCCTGTTGAGATCCTTTCCCCCCTTTCCCCCCTAAGGCCTTTCCCCCCCTGAGATCTTCTCCCTTGTCCTCCCCAAGATCTTTTCCCTTGGTTGAGATCCTTTCCCCCTTTCCCCCCGAGATCTTCTCCCTTTTCCTCCCTAGGATCTTCTCCCACCTTTCCCTGTTGAGCTCCTTTCCCCCTTTTCCCCCTAAGGCCTTTTCAGATCTTCTCCCTTTTCCTCCCTAAGATCCTTTGCCCCCTTTCCCTGTTGAGATCCT